CACCCCAGGAACGCGGGGAGCGCGGGGGCGTGGCCAGACCCGGCGCTGAGGCACAGCGCCCTCCCCGAAGTTGAGCGAAAAGTTTGAGGCCGGAGGCAGCGGGGCCGTGCAGTGTTTGCCCGGCCCTCCACAAGTCCCTCAGACGCGAGGCTGAGCCCAGGAGGAGCTGCGTACCGCCTTGGCCACTGTGGGGAACGGAGGTGGCGAGTCCCCAGCAAACCAGACCGACTGGGTAGGGCTGGCTGCTAGCCCTGCCCTCTCTCCACCCTTGGCTCCTGGGCGGCGGAGGGAACTGGCCATGCGGTGCATGGCCTCAGCGCCCATTCGGTTCTGGCTGAGGGAGGCGGTGGCTGGCGGCCGGGCTCCGGCTGAGCCCATGCACGACTCCGACGCTGCTCCCAGGAGCCCGGCGCGCGGCACGGCGACCCCGGCCGCTCCAGAACTCGGTGTAGAAGACCCGACGACCCGGCTGTTTCGGGGCGGGGATCGCTAGCCCCGAACTTCATGCCCTGCGATGTCCGCTCAAGTTCTGGGATTTTTACGCAACTGGAATCCCCTCCCCCTGGCAACACCCAGAGGATGAGGAGCTGATTCCCCGGAGAGAGCCACGGGGCTTTGACTCATCGTCGGGCCAGAACCCGAAGCCCCAGAGAGAGGGACCCTTCACCTCTGGGGGTGGGGGCTTAGTTCTAGGACAGGAGAACCTTTGGTGGCACTGGACCTCGGCTCTCCGGACCTCTCGGAAAACTAGAAGATGCCGGAGAGCGCGGCTTCCCGCCCGTGGTCCAAGGATCTAGCGGGGCGCCCCCCACTTCAGGAGGCCGTTCCGGACTCCACCAGCGCTGTCTCCTCTCCCTCAGATCCGGCAACCGCAGAGAATGACGCGGGTGCCCCCACAGCCCCGGCTGCCGGCGGAGAGGGCGAGCCCTACAGCCAGCACCGCGACACCCGCCTGGGCAGCACCGATAAGGAGCTGAATGCAGGAGCCGCTGCCGCGCACAGCTCCGCGACAGCGCCGGGGACCCCCCGGCAGGCGGAGCCACGGGTCGAGGTCATGGACGCAGGTTTGTGGGCGCTTGGCCGAGAGTCTGTTGGGGGATCCATTCTCTTTCACCAGGAATGATGGCCAGAGTCAGTGTGACAAAAGAGAAGGGCTGGGGACTCTGGAGAAAACACTCCCCAACTCCATCCCCCCTAGCCATAAGCTGGCCAGGCCTGAGCTAAGGGCCGGGTGGTGTCGCGGCACCCTCCCTGGAGCTCCCCACTGAAGGCCGCTGCCTCTGGCCAGACTCTATTGAATCAATTACGCGGGGATTTCATGCACCGCGTTTCAGTGCTCCTGTTGTGATCCTCAGGCCTCTAGTGGCCAGTTGGAGACATGGCCTTTTCGGGCTTCTCTACAGCGGTGGGCCCCCTGAACCTGCTCCCACGGCCCTGCCACGTGCTGGTGCTGTTGAACCCGCGAGGGGGCAAAGGCAAGGCCCTGCCACTGTTCCGGAGCCACGTGCAGCCCCTGCTGGCCCAGGCCGATGTCTCCTTCACGCTGATGCTCACTGGTGAGTGCCTCCCCAGGGGGTGCAGGGAGCTTCCCCTGCCAAGGACCACTCCCTCACCACAACCCCACCTTGATAGCCTCCCTGTCTCTCCGCAGAGCGGCGAAACCACGCCCGGGAGCTGGTGCGGGCGGAGGAGCTGGGCCGCTGGGACGCATTGGTGGTCATGTCTGGAGACGGGCTGATGCACGAGGTGAGGCCCCCACCAGGAAGCTGGGTTGTGGTCGCGGGGGAAGGGTGCTTCTCAGGCTGGGGCCAATTGTGCTCCCACAGGTGGTGAACGGGCTCATGGAGCGGCCTGACTGGGAGACCGCCATCCAGAAGCCCCTGTGCAGCCTCCCAGCTGGCTCTGGCAATGCGCTGGCAGCGTCTTTGAACCATTATGCCGGGTGAGAGCCCGGGGCCTGAGTGGGCCCCAGTTTCCCCAGTGTCACCCTACTGCCAGGCTTTCTGAGTTCCCAAGTGCTGGGGTAACTTCCACCCCCTCTTCCCTGGGGTCTCGACCCCCAGTTCTGGGGCCCTTCCTGGTGACTCCAACTGGCTGCCTCCACCTGCTCCATCTGTCCTTCCTACAAACCCCCTAGAGACTCAGTGTCACTTTGCCTGCCCCAGCTCCCCAGAAGAGGAAGGGGCGGGTGTATGAGGGTTCCTGACCATCCCATCTGACTTTTTCCCCTGCAGCTACGAGCAGGTGACAAACGAAGCCCTCCTGACCAACTGCACACGGCTGCTGTGCAGCCGGCTGCTGGCACCCATGGATCTGCTGTCCCTGCAGACGGCCTCAGGGCTGCGCCTCTTCTCCGTGCTCAGCCTGGCTTGGGGGTTTATTGCTGACGTGGATGTAGAGAGTGAGAAGTTCCGGTGCCTGGGCGAGAAGCGCTTCACCCTGGGCACCTTCCTGCGCCTGGCAGCCCTGCGCACCTACCAGGGCCGCTTGGCCTACCTCCCTGTAGAAACAGTGGTCTCCAAGACGTTCCCCTCCCGTGATCGGGTCCAGCAGGCCCAGCAAGGCCCCGTGGACACCCACCTGGTGCCCCTGGAGGAGCCAGTGCCCTCTCATTGGACTGTGGCACCGGAGCAGGACTTTGTGCTGGTGCTGGCGCTGCTGCACTCACATCTGGGCAGTGAGATGTTTACTGCACCCATGGGCCGCTGTGCGGCCGGCGCGATGCATCTGTTCTATGTGCGGGCAGGCGTGTCGCGGGCCATGCTGCTGCGCCTCTTCCTGGCCATGGAGAAAGGCAGGCACATGGAGTGTGAGTGTCCCTACTTGGTGTATGTGCCTGTGGTTGCCTTCCGCCTGGAGCCCAAGGATGGGAAGGGTGTACTTGCTGTCGACGGGGAATCGGTGGTCAGCGAGGCTGTGCAGGGCCAGGTGCAACCAAACTGCTTCTGGATGGTCAGTGGCCACGTGGAATCCCCACCCTCTCTGGGGCGACAGCCCCCACCCAGCTGGAAGCCCCAGCAGAGGCCAGCTCTGGAAGAGCACCCATGATTCCATGGGCCTTGCTGGGGCTTGCCTGTTGTCTCGGTTTACCTGGCGCTCAGGAGCCTCCCTCCTCCCCCAGGACTGGAGGGCCTGCCTGCAGCTCATGTAGGGGTGGGGAGGCGGAGGATGAAGTGGGGCAAGGCCAGACTCTGCCCACCAAAGGCCAGAATGAGGTCCTGGGCCCAGAGCCCAGCTGGTTGGGCCTCGCTGCCTGTGGCAGCCACTCTATTTTGTTATGGGAACCCCACCCCCTGAATCAAATCCAAATAAAGTGACATTCCCAGCCAACTGGTCTTGTCCTAGGGGTTGGGGGTTGGGGTCTTGCTTCTGCCAAGGCTCTAGAACTTAACGTTAGTGATGCCCAATGGTGCCTCCTGGATTGGGCAACGTGGGGTACTGGCCCCTGGGAATAGCCATTTTGGTGGTGGACACAGGACCAGAGCTGGTCCAGGCTGCTTTTGCGGTGGGGTTGGGGGGTGGGGGGCCTGCCCCAGTGATGATTATACCACATTTGGCCTGGAGACAACTGCCTCTCCCCACCAGGAGGAAGACAGGCTCAGAGCGAGTATGTCTTACCCAGGGCCACACAGCCAGCTAGTCTCAGTGAAAAGTGAAAATGAGTTAGGGGCACTGGGGAAAACTGGCAAAGAGCAAAAGAAGTCGGAATGGCAGGCAGCTGCTCCCTTTTTAAAAGAAGTCTGTCATCCCTCCCAGGGGTCTCTAGGGCTCCCCAGGCCTCTCCTGCCTACCCCACCCCATGCTCATTAAGGGGAGTGTTGCACAGGATTTAAAAGGAAGCAGCAGGGAAGGGCGGATGCCAGTCTCCCAAAGTGAGGAACCCATCTGGCTTAGAGTCCAGGCCAGGTGAAGCGAAGTCAGCTCTGCCAGCATCTGGAAGGAAGTGAACTGGCAGAACTGGTCAGTCACAGGCCCTGGGGGACCGCACAGTTGCTGACAACATTCTGCTAAGCAGTGACTCTTGAGGAGTAGAATACAGGCCCTGCTCAGAGGCAAGCACGCTGAGGCACCGAATGTCTAGATCCTCAGGATCTCCTGGATCTCCTGGCCCCTGTGAATCCTACGGCGGGAAATGCAGAGGCTCCAGCGCAGGCCGGGTCGGGGAGATGCAGCTGCTTCAAGCCTCCTTGGGACAGGGATCTCTCCTTCCCCCGGGGAGCGTGTGTGAGGAGCCCCTGAGGGAAAGAAAGGCGACAGAGCCCGGAAGAATGGCAGAGGCAGGTTTAATGGTGCCACCTTGTCTTTTTTGTACAGTGTAATGAGCCAAACGAAAAAAATGCAAGTAAAAAAAAAGTTTAATCACACAGCACTTTATACAGATATCTTAAGCAGTAGGCATTCACATCTCCACGTGAACAACGCACTGGGAAGCACAGCCCCACCGATCACTCTGGGACTTCCTCCAACAAGATACCGACTCAGCTCCGAACGCCGCCGCGGCCGCCCTCCGGCCGTCCTTCCCGCGCCGCTGCCGGCTGCGTGGTCGTGGCAGCTCACGTGTGGAGCCAGCGTAAGGCGGACAAGACGTGTCATGCTTTGGCTTCTTTTTTTGTCTTTTTTTTTTCTAGTAAGAGTTAATATCTTTGCTTTTGAGATTTATTTTCTTTCACCCTTAAATATTACATACATACACGGAAAATTACACAGCTGCGATGTGCCCAGCGGCACCCCCTCAACCCGGAGCTTCACATTATCAGACGCTTAGAAAACCTGTAAACCTCTGGGCCCGGCTCTGGGAGGAGAGCCCTGCCGGCCGCCTCTCTACTGCGCTGAGCCTGCGGAACTTGTCAGCGAAGGGCTGACGGGAGGCCTCGTTCTCGGCAGAGAGAGAGGGCTGGCTCCGTGCCACCTCCCAGCGCTAGCCTTTGATAGTGGGAGGGACAAAGTCTACGCGGAGGCCCCAGCATGTGCCCTGGCCTTGTCCGTGCAGCTGCTCCTGCCCCCGGGGCCCGGGGATGGGGCTGAGCAAGGAGCAGACATCAGCTCAGTCTGAGAGGGCCAGGCCTTCGAGCCAGAGCTGCCAATCCCCGGCCCCGTGGGGCAGGAAGAGCAAGGCACCTAGAGCTGTCAGCTCCCTGGTCCTCACTCCGTGTTAGCGCGTGAGGGCCGCCACCTCTCCTGGGTGTCACCCTGAACCCAGCCTGGTCCCAGCCTCTCTTAGACAGCGAGTTCAACAGGCCTGAGGGCTCTCCCATGTAAACAGGCCAGAGTAGGGCCAGGAGTCGGCAACGGCAGCTACAACTCCCAAGGGAGAGTGCTGATGTTGGGGGGACGAGGACATGACTGGTGGCAGCGGCAGGAGGGCCTGGGACACTAGGAAGCGACAGTGGAACTGAAGAGGATGAAGGGGACCAGGGGACCGGCTGGAGCCACCCACACTTCATGCAAGGCACACCCACTCGTCCCGCTGGTCTGCACACACTTGGGCCCAGAGTCCTCCCGCGTGTCAGGCCCCAGGAAAAGCCCACCTCCGACCTGAGGTGGAGACGGCAAGGGAGGAAGTGCTGGGGCATTCTGCCCAGGGTGACAAGTGGAAAATCAGCAAGAGGGTTCAGATTTTTGTCGCTACAGGAGACCTGCCTGTTGAAAGATTGCTTCGGAGGAGAGACGGCAGCATCTCAACAAGCTTCTTGCACTTCAGCATCAAACTCACCTTGGGAAGAAGAGGGCAGTGGTGGGGCTTGCACTGGGGACGGAGGAGCAGAGGGAAGAGGGGAGATTCCAGGGGAGGAAGTGAGCAGGCAGCAGCTGGCCTCTCCCCATCCTGACGCTCCTTCCACGAGGGCTGGCGGCTACTTGTCCTCGGTGCGCTCGGGCATGCCCGCCTCCGTCAGAGCGGCCCGGAACTGCATCAGCACCCCCCGGATGCTCTTGATGAAACCCTTAGAAAGCGGGAAGAGAGGGAAGCCGATGTCAGGGTAGCCACTCTTCTCAGGCAAGAAGCTCCGGTAGCTCTTTCTCCGCTTCTTTGGTTTGACACTGGGTGGCACCGAGGCGTCAGGCGCGGCCTCCGAAGTCTGGTCTGTGTGGTCCCTGCTGGCCAAGGCCGGGCCCTGCGCACCGCTCTCCGAGTCTGAGCCCTGGGAGGCCTCTCCGGGGGCCAGCCCTCCGTCCTCAGGTTCTTCTCGGCTGAAGTCTGAGAGCTCGGCCATAGCAGGCGGCTCTGGCGAGCTGCTGTCCTTGGGAAGCCCATTGGGCAGCGCCTGGGCCCTCTCCCGCAGGGTGTGGGTTTCCAGCCACGACTCGATGCGGTTCACCAGCCGCCAGCCGCCAGTGCTAAAGTGCTGCCGGATCTCCTGCTCGAAGACCTCGGGCGGCCGCCGCACCAGCTGCGTCATGGACTGCACCACGCGGATCAGCGCCATCTCGTTGTAGCAGCGACTGTTCTCATAGCCCTCCTGCAGGCCGCGGTCGCTGTCGAAGCCTGCCTCATTGTAGTACGGTTCATTCACCAGGATGAGACCTGTGGGAGTGGAAGCCCATCAGGGCCGGCCCGACCTTGGCCCCCCAGGGGACGGCCCAACTGCCAGACTGGAGGTGGGGGATGTCAAGGCCAGGGGTGCCCTCCACAGCCCTCACTCCACCCCTGCCCACCATACCTTGGATGGAGATGAGCACCTGGAGAAGGCTGGATTTGCTCGTCCACCTCTCTGTCCCCTGGAACACACACACAGGGTCGTCAACTCTGTCCCAGATGCCCACCCAGACTGGATCCCCCCTGCTGACTGGGTGCCGGCACTGCACCCACCTTTCCAATCCAGGTGCCCAAGAGGCTGACGCACACCTTCCCATTGTCATACAGGTTGGGGTTCAGGCGGCCACTGCACTGGGAGAGGTAGCAGAAGTGGGGGGGCACGGCCGGGTAGATGTTGGGGAGCTGGATGTCAAACAGGTAGAGGCCGTCCTCGTATGGGGTGCGCGTGGGGCCCTTGATTAGGGCGGAGAAGAGGTCCTAAAGGAAAGCGGGAGGGAAAGCTGAGGTCGGCGTGGGCCTCCACACACAGCGTCTGGTTCTGGACTTTTCCAGGGTACCATGAGGCTCGAGTGGGAGCAGGCAGCACCCTGGGCCTCCAGACACTTCCAGCAACAGAAAAGCTAAATGCAACTATCTCTGTGTAGACCTACTTGGCTCCTTTAACTCCTGGCATGAAAGGAATTTTCCAAACTTGTTTTTAGCCTACTAGGTTTTTTCCATATAAATCATTACTTACACATGGCACTCCTCAAAATACTTGGTGTGACCGCCCCACCCCCAACAAAGCAAACAAGAATTACAACCAATTAGAAAGAACGTTCCAGGATGGTAAGGCTGCACTTGTTTTTAGGGAACTAGAGGGCCTCGAGGATCCGAACTCGGGAAAATTCTGGGAGACCACTAGAAACACAGGCTGTAGATGACCAGGGAGACTCCAGATGTCAGAGAGCCGCGCTGCGTGCCGGGGCGAGGTTGGGACCGCTGCCCGGCAACGTGCCGGTGACCCATGAGCTGGAAGACCCTGAGGGCCCAGTACTGGCTGGAGTCACGAAATCCCCTTATTACTTGCTACTGGGGCTGCTCTGTGGATCTCAAGGTGACACACTACTTCCTGTACTCTGTGAGCGAGGTTTGGGGAAAAAAACAGAACAAAAAAAATACTGTCCCCTTCCTCCGTCAGCAGAACTGAGTCAGGCTAGAATTTTCAAAAGGAATTTTACTAAAACCCAAGGAAAACCAAAAGTATTGTCCGAATAAAATAAAAGTATTGTCAGGAACCTCGAGCAGCCCCGACCCCGCATGGGCTCCAGGCCCTGCCCTGTGGTTTCTGGTTGCCTGCAGGCCTGTCTCAACAGCGCCCCTCTCTGTGGTCCTTCTTCTTTGCCGCTTGCTCCAGGCTCTGGGCTAGAGCTGGAGCCTTGGTCACACCCAAATTCAGTGTCTAATGTGGTGCCCGGTACACAGCAGGGGCCAGTGAAAGACTGCTGAACAAATAAGGTGGCAGACAGATGGGGCTTGTCCCTTCCTGGAACAAACAAGGATGCGCTCACACACCTCCAGCAGCATGACTCAAACCCAGAGCCCAGGACACAACAAGAGGGTGGGAGACAGTGTCACGTGGCCACGGAGGCCACAATATTCTGTAGCCAAAAAGTAATGAACTACATCGCTGAGTCAACACTGGTATGCCTCAAAAATTACCCTTTTGAGTGAGAAAAAAAGCCAGCTACAGATGATGGGTACACAAATGTGCTATTCCTACAGAACAAATCACACAAAATAGGATGTGTTTGTG